CGTTTCGTCCGTGATGCTATCTTGTCTTTCTGTTGCCTTACTTTTTTTTCGCTCAAATCTCCAAGCCTCGCCTTGCGGACGAATCACAGCCTGCAATCCCGGTGGCCTCCTCTGCTCCTGTGACAGGTTGGCAACACGTAGAAAGAGGGTGTCGAGCTCAGGACAAGGCGTCGAAAAGAAGACGAGAGTGTCCTGGCATGTAACTGGTTGCCGACCTAGCCATATTTCCCTCCCTCCTTTTGTTGTGCAATCTGCAGGCCCATGTCGTACTCAGTCTTGAAATCTAAACTCGGTTCGTGACCACCCCTGTGCAGAGCCAAACGGGACGTTTTTCAATTGATATTTTTCTTTTTCTCCTTTGTGTGCCCTTTCTTTTTCTTTACATTCTGCAGACAGGGGTGGCAGGGACCATGGTAATCTATCGTCTCCGTTGATATTCTGTATTCTTAACTACACAGTACTTTCCTTGCCCCCAAGTACGACATATTCAGTAATACATTATGTAAAAGACAACGCAAATGCAATCGTTCAAAGGAAAGGCGGAAAGACGATGTAAGATAGCGTCCAGGGTTGGTGATGTGATCTCTATTTTATGTTGTGTGCCGGCACTGTCCACTTGGTCTGTACACAGACGCCGCCAAATGCAGTTGCTCGCTGAGACGATGAATAAACAGTCTCATCCGTCTGCTGGCCTGGCTCTCTCCCATTCCTACAACGCAAGAAATGGACGCCCTGACGCGTCCAGCCGCCAGGCCTCTCCCTCCCCCCCCGGGGCCAGTCGCGCCTGCTATTCAAAACACAGCACGGCATGGCTCCGTTGTACAGGCACAACTCGCTATTCATCCCGTCCGTTCCTTCCTTCACCTCGCTCGTCCTTTCCATTCCCTCTCTGGCCCCGTCCTCTCCTTCCCTTTTGTTGGCTCTGCCCCGCCATTGTTTGCGCATTTCCCCAGCTCTCCAGCGCGGCACCATGCTTGCCCTAAATTAGTGCCTCCGAGTCGAGCCCTGACGTCCGATGTTTTCAACGGCTGGCCTTTGTCCTGGCCCTCGGCCCCCTAATGCTACCACAGTTGTTGGTCGCGAAGACCTTTTTTCTTAGCTCTGGTGCCAAAACACTAACACTACGATGCATGTCCACCATTGGGACTGGACCCAAATATGACGCTATTGTCTCCGCATGGAAGGCACGCCAAAGCCGCACTAGCGGCCCCCCTTTATCTGTCTGGGGAAGGAGCAGCATGACAGCATGACAGCCACTGTGAACGAGGACATCACAAAGGGAGCCCAGAAGGAATGAACCGGAGAAGAGCGGTTTCATTGCTTTTGTATTCTGTATCTTACTACATATTCGAGAAAAGCGCCAACAGCAGCCGCCAATTTGGAAATGGTTCCAATAGATTGTTGACCCCAGCTCGAAGGCAAGGGCGAGATCATTACATGTTGATCGCCAATGTGGCCAGAGGAAAACGTCGCTGGCACAATAAGTCCGATGAGAGAGGGGTCCATGGGCCAACAGATCAAAGTCTGGGGAAATACTTTGTGGATGGAGGCAGAAACAACCAGCCACCCTTTGGATGGTGTGTGTGCAAGCCCTTTTCCCTTGTATGACAATACATTCGTACAGGATCGCCCCTTCTCCCCGCTTTCTCCGTTCGCTCCTGCCCTGGCAGCTGGCAGCTCAATGCGTCGTTGGCCTGCGACGTAGACGGAGATGCTTCCTTCCTCGATCTCGTGCCTACCAGATACATGTCAATAGCACTTTCCACACACCCTGTCATATTGTCCATTGCCGCCACTAAAGTGCACGAGGGCTAGCGCACTTCATCTGTTCTCTCCCACCTGCACCTGCCATCGGGTTTCACTTTCCTCGTAGAAGCACTCGACCAGTTGCTGGCACAACTCCTCTTTCCTTGCCTTCCCACAGAAGCTCTTTCTTTGTTGTCGCATCGTCCTCTCTCCTTCCAAATCGCTCTCGCTCTCCATTGCTCCTCCCCTCTTGAGCCAGTTTGTGTTTCTCCTTGTTTTCACCTGCCTATAGCTAAACTCTTCCTCCGTCTTCACATTCCGAGTCAATCTCCGTCAAGACATTTCTGTTCACATTTCTGTTTACATTTCTCCCATCAACACCCACCCTCGCAAACCGCCAAACGCACTTTGATAGTCCTTCAACCCCCCCAGACTGCACATCACATCAGCACACACACGAGCTTTCGCTTTCTCGGTTGACGATGGGCCGCGCATAAGGCCAGACCACGCACAGCCTGTCCCCCTTGTCGCACCTTTTCTCGTTTCGATTTACCAACCTGACAAGCTCCTTGTAACCTGCACACAGCCTTCCACTGCACACTCTGCGTCTGCGGACATTGGTCTCAGACGCCGTCGTCTTGTTCGTCGGCGTCTCTGCGCTTCTCCCTTTGTTGCGAGACCCCTTTGTTGGTGGAGAAGAAACAGAAAGACAAGAAGAATACATTTTGTGCAGACTTTGTCCTTTTGCTGCTGTCCAATCCGGTTCAGCTTTGTATACTGTTCACCGTTTTCTCTGTTGCCAGTGTAGTGTTTCTTTTCTCTTTTGTTTCTGTGGCCGTTGTCTTGTCCGGCTGCTTCTCCATTTGTTACTTTATTCCTACTTCTTACTGCTTCTGTTTTTGTTTCTTTTGTTTCTTTTCCTGTTGTTGCTCTCTCTGCCGCCGATTTTTCGACGCCTTTCATTTATCGTCGATTGTGTCTTCTTCGTCGCCCTTGCTCCGTCTGCGCTGTCTCGCTCTCCCTGCGTCGCCTTTTCTCGACTTTCTTTTCGCCCGAGACCCTGGACCCTCCAACCCTCCGTCGTGCGCGTCTCCAGCCAACGGCCGTCAACGTCGACAACCGCGCGTGTCTTGGAGACGTTTCGCTCCGTGTCGCCTTGCTAAACGCCGCCGACTCGATTCGTTCCCTTGCCATTGTCCAATTCTGCATCTTCGATTCGCGCCCTTCGCCAGACGTTCATTTTTTCTTTTCTTTTTCTTTTCTTTTGCAATCGACGGCCACATCTTCCTCCTCTCCTCGTCCAATTCCCGGCCTCGCGCTTTCTTTGCGTTTCCCCTCTTTTTGGCCCTTTCGCAGACTCCATACTCCTCCACAGGGCTGTCCCTCCCCATCGACCATCTTGGACCCCCTTGTCCTCGTGTCTCCGGCCAAAACAACAGCCGCAAACCCTTCCTCCTCCTTGCTGTCTCCGCCTCTCCTACCGTCACCGCGAGTTCAACTGAAATTTTGAACCCCAGCTGTCATCACCACGACCAGCGTTTCGAGACGTTCTCTGTCATTCCAATTTGCCTTCGATCCCGCTTCGACGTGCAAACATCGCTCCCGAGATTTATTTTCTGCATGCACATCTGCAGCCAGACGTTCCAGGCTTGACGAAGTCACTTGATATTGCCATCCACAGCAGGTCGTACGGAGTACGAGTTGACTACGACGTTAAACTATCGGCGGTGGCTTCCAACTTCTTCCCCAGGTAAGCTACTGTGACAACTCCACATTTTAGTCTCCTCTTTCAACGTTAGTCTGCTTGCCCTTCCCACCGTCGCGCCGCCTGTCTGTCGTCTGTCTTCATTTCCCTTCCTGCCCCTGGTTCTTTTAGGACAAGGCGTTCCCTGTTCTTTTCCGGGGACGGCAGCTTTGCAAGCTGCAGTCGACTTATTCTGTTTGCACTGGTAACGGACCTGGTTTCCACTGTTGTCTGTTTTGCGCATTTGCTCCGAACAAAGAAGGCAGAGCTACAAAGGATGGAGTAATTACTCTTCTGCTCTAAGATTCTGCAACGTTTCTCAATTCCCTTCTGTTTGGCCCTCACTCGCATCCCATCCCCGTCATCTGACGAGATCTCGTTTCCTGGGCCTGGCCCTTCCCCTCTTCCCTTGTTGGCTAGAAAATTTCCTTTACTCCTCATTTTCCCTTTTCGACTTCACCGCCAAATCTGTTGGGCTGGTTGGCTGCACAAATGCTCTGTACAAGAGGCCCCAAAAGCCAAAACGCTCCATAGCCAAAGGCCAAATGGATGGCTCACCTGACCGACCTTGCCTGCTGTACTTGCCCGCTTGCTCACTCTGCTTTTCCACGCCGCCATCCTGTTTCGAGACACGTCCCTCATTGTCGACTCGTGGAGAACATACGTGGGGAAGAGAAGGAGAAGTGCACTAAGTAATTACAGCGTAGAGCGACTCTCGACTACAAAGGCCGCCATAGCACGCTGCTTCCCTTCTCCTCACTGCGTCACGAGGCTAACCAATCGTCTGCAGGTCGCGTCCAGTCGCCACTTTATCCCATTAATTTCCCTTTTCCCTCGTTTTCGCGGCTCTTGACAGCTTTCGATCTTGTCTTTCTTCCTCTTCCTTTCTCATTTGCTTTTGCGTCGGGCGTCCACTTCGCGTCATTCTCTCGACGACTTTCAACCTGGTTTGCATTGCTGGCATCGAATTTGCACTGCACGGATCGACCATTTTGCTGAACCGTTCATCGCAACCTTGTGACCTACGCACCCGCTGTGGCCTGGCCTACAAAGTACGACACCAATTTATCTTACCACCCACCAACGGAATACATACGCACTCACGTGCCGCATTCACCAATCCTCATTTTTCGCCACAAACATCACGGCTTTGTGTTGTGCCCCAAAGCAACGGCAAGCCGAGAGACATAGCACAAGACTCTACATTGGGCACCCCGCAATCGAGCCGTTTCAGAAACGGAGGACGATTTTACAGTGTCACGCCACTGTACACCATCGCGCACCACCGCCCCCCGGCACACTCCTAGGGGGAAAACAACAAGAACCCCAAGACGGTCTCGTCTCGAGGTGATCTTAAGACCCCTCAAAAGGACCGGTGTCGTCTTCACATCCGCCCTGCACCGTCAACATAACACGGTGCCTCTCCTGACCGGAACGGCTTTTGAATGCGGCGCAAGCGGGTATAATTGTTCCCCGTCCGAAGACCTTGACCGACAAGGACCTACGGACAATGAGCGCCGGATTTAAGTCTGGCCCACCCCCCAAGCTGGGTCAAAGCAATACACTCTCCTCTGTAGCTCCAGGTAGCCAGGCTATTTTGCTTGACAAGTTCAATCGCCGGTCCACCCCCGATTCAGAGGCCCTGGCTAGCTCAGATGAGGAGACCGACCTGCATAGCCAACCAAACTACCAAAACCCTCACACAGCAGCAACGACTGCTGCCGCCGCCAACGCCGCTACGGCGTCCTCTCCCACCACACACTTGAGCCAGGGCCAGCAGTCCCTTTCACAGGCGCAGCAGCCACAGTCTCAGTCTCAGTCCCAGTCTCAGTCTCAGTCGCAGCCGCCTAAGCCCGTCCGCCGCGCTTCGTGGCTCAACGACACCAGCCAGGGCCTCGTCCGGCCGAGAAACGAATCGTTCAATAGCGCATCAATGTCGCCCACCACGTCGCACCCGAGCACGCCGGCAATTGATGCCAGTGCTGGTGGAACTGGTACAACCTCTGGCACCGCCGCGACCTGGGGTGCACACGCCACGTCGTCTTCGGGCGTCTTGAACCGCACTCACTCCAACGCGTCCACCTCTTTCCCCTGGGGCACAGCCATGTGGAATTCCGAGCGCAAAGACCCGCCTTCCAGACTGTCTGAGGTGCTGCCGTCTCCAACATCTGCAATCCCGCCTGGCTCTGCTGGTGGCTCGTTCTTCGGAAGCGGAAATGCCGATAGCTACCCTTCGCAATCCTCTCCGGCGGCACGGGACGGTCTCAGCACAACGTCGCAAATCCCCTTTGCCATCCCTCTGCACCCGACTCCCAAGACGTACCGGTCGCAGTCCTACTCCGTCGGCCAGCTCGAGCCTGATGTTGCTGCTCTCACGGGGTCTGCCACGTCGCCGGCCCTGACGTCGTCCCTCGGCGGCTCGTCGCTGCTGGCCGGCCCCCGCTCGTCCCGCCCGATTGCCGGCCTGCAGCACCGTCCCTCGCGGCCTAGCATGCTTAGCGAAATGTCCAACGACGGCGGCATGCTTGGCAAAGTAAAGGAGGTCGATGATGATGACGATGGGAGCATCAACGATTCACTCCAAGGCAGCCAGCAGCTGTCAGCCGAGGCCAAGACCATTGAAATGTTGACCCGTGAGAACGCCATGCTTCGCCAGCACGCCAGCCAGCAGTACCATAACGCCCGCATCCGCCCGCGTGCGTCGACGGGCGCTGCCTACCGCCTGGACAACGGCTATGGCCTCCAGGAGTCTGTCCCTGAGGAGGCTTCTGACTTTGCTATTGACGAGTTGGACGAGATCAACGACGGTGACTTTGCCACCGCGGCCAAGCGAGCCAACGTGCGCAGAATGAGCGAGTTTGCCGCTCCTGGCTCCTTCCGGTCGCCGTTTTCTGTCGAGAACCGCAAGCTTGAGAGTGTGAAGAAGGCGTTCTGGCAAACCACCCCTGCCGGCTTCTCCGATGTCTCCCCGAGCCGCCGTCACTCGTTTGCCGACGTTCCCACCCGCCAAGCGTCAATCAGCTCCATCAATGAGGTTGTCCTTGCGCACGATGCAAATGCACAGGATCAGCAGCAACCGGGCGGGATCGAGTTCACGTCGCCTTTTGATAACCCGCACAGTTTTGCTGCCAAGTCCGCCGCCGCCGCCGCCGCCGCCGCTGCCGCGCAGTCCATGTACAGCAATGGTCCGGGTGTCTCGCCGGGCGCGTCTCAGATCACGCCCCAACAACTCCTCCAGCAGCAACAACACCAGCAAGCTCAGCAACAGCAACAACAACTTTCAGCAAGCGCCGCTTACGCTGGTGGCGGCAGTGCTGCGTACCCCTCGCCCTATGGTCTACACCCGCCGACGTATGCCGCGCGGCCGACATCGCCTCAGCGTGGCATGTACGGTTTGTCGCAGCCAAATCGCTCGACTCCGCTTCACATCGTCCTCTTCAAGTGCGCTCGTGCCGATGTGTTCTACATCCAGGAGGGCACCGGCCTGACGGTCAAGCCGGGCGACCTCGTTATTGTCGAGGCTGACCGTGGCACCGATCTGGGAACCGTGGCCGTGGACAACGTCGACTGGGTCGAAGCCAGACGACTCAAAGAGCACTATGCCGAGGAGCAGTACAAGTGGCTTATGATGTACTCTCAGAATGCTGCTGCGGCGCAGGATGGCGTGGGTGCTGGCCTTTTGGCATCGTCCACTGGCCTTCAAGGGAGCGCCATTGGCGGCATGGGCCCGCCCGGCCAGCATCACGTCCAGGAGCCGAGCACCAGCGAGCTCAAACCCAAGCTCATCAAGCGTCTTGCCCAGAACCACGAGATTCACGCCTTGAGAGACAAGGAAGGAAACGAAGCGAAGGCGAAGCGCGTTTGCATGCAGAAGGTGAAGGAGCACGGCCTTAACATGGAGATCCTTGACGCTGAGTTCCAAATGTAAGTCCCAGTGTTTTGCGACGTGCACCACGAAAAAAAAAAAGTATTGGATCCAGCGGTAACAACATACTAACACACGCCACAGGGACTGGAAAAAGCTTACCTTTTACTATTTTGCCGACGCCTACATCAACTTCAACTCCCTGGTCACGGACCTATTCAAAATCTACAAGACCCGCATCTGGATGTCCGCCATTAACCCGGCCTCCTTCGCCAGCCAACCCCTTGGTCTCCAGGCACCGAGCGGCATTGGGCCCGGTGCTGTTGGTGTTGGCCGTGGTGCCCCGACGTCGGAACGTCGCCAGACCCAGCAGGGTGGTCAGGTCTCCCCGCCTCCGCAGGCTGGTCCTCAGCAGCAGCAGCAGCAGCAGCAGCAACAGCACCAGCCTGCCTACTCACCAGTGCCTTCTAACCGTGGTTATCCCGGCGGTCCCGGCGCTGTCAGCCCGCAACCGCCTAGCATCGGTGGTCCCGGTGGTGGCCCCTACCCAGGCTCGTTCCCGTACAGCCCATATGCCGCGTTTGGGAACATCCCTCGCGCATCTGGTATGGGATATGGTGGGCAAAACATGGGAGGCCCTGCGGCTGCCGAAAGTTACGCCATGGGTTACGCTGTCCCTGCAGACTACAACTTGCGTGGCCGGTTCCCAGCTGGCCAGCCCGATATCAACCAGAATGGCCAGGGTATGTCCCCGCTTGCGCCTTCTGGGGAATGGGTCAGTTCCTTCCAAGGCTTGTCTCTCAACTCGAGATAGTATCTTAATCGCCAAGCGCATTGGAGAGACGGCCTTTGATGGACAATGACGAAAAAAAAAAAGAAAAAAAAGAAAGAAAATAATTCCCTGTGGCAAGGCTATTGTGTCTACCATGGATGCAAAACAGCTGAAGAGTTCTGCCAGGGAGAACCAAAAAACCGGGCGTCTTCAAACCGGCCAATATCCGACGCCCTGCTTGTCGTTGTGCTAATTTCTTTTGTGCATTCTGTTGTGTTTCACTTTGATTTATACTTGTTCCGTTCTGCCACCGGGTTAGACAGCAGAATGCTTAGAGTGCATTTCCTTTCTCTTCCAACGAGGACACGACGAAAAGAGACAAAGCCATGTGTTTACATACGACGAATTTTTTTTCACGTTTTCATATTTTTCACATTTTCACATGTTCACATGTTCACATTTTCACTTCGCTTTCGCTTTCACTTTTGAATTGCCGACGACAATTTCAAATATACAAAAAAAGGAGGACAAGGATACCACAGAAAGAACGGATTCGGCGCAGGGCGTTACGAGGAACAAGAACAGTTTCCTCCCTGTCTGGTTCTGCAATGATCTGCCTATCCCTTTTGCATTTTAGAGGTTATCTTCTGTTTTTTACTAAAAAGGGTTGCTCCCCTTATGATATGTACTTGTCTGTCTACACATCCGTTTTTATACCTTGTTTCGTTATGGTTTGTTCTCCTGTTGGCACTTGTTTTTTTACTTTGTCTTTGTACTGTGTCACACTCCGCTGTCTTTCTGTCGTTAATAATTTTCTTCGCAAGCTATATTTCGTTTGTTCCCTTTCACCTTCGCCTTGATAGTCACATGTTTTCATGTTGTTTTGCTGCTTTCGACATTATGACGCAACGGGGAGAAAGACAAGATTGTCTAAATCTCTTATGACGGAAATTTCCTCGATAGATACAAGAGATTTGTTGTTCTGATGTACGACATTCTGCTTCCTTGTCTGTTCTGGTTGTCTGCTGTTTGTTTTTCAGGCAACCCCAAGATGTAATTCAAATTTTCATAAACATGGTCTCGTTTGTTCTGGCATGATAGGCATTATAGGTTTGTCTCTCACAGTGTTTCTTTCTCTTGCCAAAATACTATAGAATTCCAACCTAGGTTCCTATGTGAGTACGTGTCATATACGTTCGTGTGACGCTCATCCCTTTCCCCATCCTTTCTTTCTTTCTTTTTTTTACAAAAAAGATATTTACGTATGAAAACGATACACAAGATTAATAAAAATATATTTCTTGTTGATATTAAGAGTGTCTTAGCAGAAAGTCTTAGCAGAGCGACCGCGCAGGTACCAAGACGGGAAAAGAAGGAAGGAGCGGTGTCAATGTTGTGAGTCGTTCTTACTCAAAGCTCGACATTCTCGCATCACAACAGTTCGGGACGCAGCCCATCGCTCCTTCCTCGGCTGCGCCTTCTACGAGAGAATTGACAAAACGGACCACGCTGACCCCTTTTCATGTCCTCTTCCTCGTCTCTTTTCATCATCGCGTTCTGTATCAAGTCTTTTGCTCACTTCGAGACCTCCATCTACCCAATTTGGCTGAATAAGTCGACTAACGATTAAGGCATGGCGCCGACAAAAGGAAGAAAGCGAGCTTGTAAGTCACACTGCTACCTTTTCGACTACGTCTCCAGCTGTCGACTGTTTGACCTTGCTAACGGGCTCTCACTTACCCGACCAGACTCCAATTCCAATCTGTCTGTCGAAGACTCGGATCTTGACGGCTTCGGGCAAGATGATGCCGACTCGTTCCGTCCTGCCCAGGCCAAGAAACGTCGCGGCACCGAGTAGGTTCTCCAAATACGTGTTTTGCTCTTCATGTTGACCCTGTACTCTCTAACAAGACTGCAGATGGTCCTCTGTGCAGGCTGGCGCCCGCAACCAGGAAGCAGACCGAGTCAAGCAATACGTGACTGCGTTTGAAAAGGGCATTGTGGCTGCCGGGCGTGACAAGGCCATGGCTACGCTCAGCCGGGGCGAAGAGGCAACGTACGTGTGTGGTCGGAACGCTTTTTTTTTTTGGCGCATGGACGTGCCACTCTGGTGATTCTAACACGTATGACGTGCACAGAGCCAAGGAAAACAAGAGAACGTTGGAGCGCATCCGTGACGCCTACGAGACAGCCTCCATTGGTGCGTCCCTCGGTGCCGCCGACCACCCACTCTACATCGCTGGGCGCGAAGTCCTCGCGCTCTTCCATGATACTCTTGCCCGCTACGAAGAGGCCGGCAAAGCCCTCCAGCAAGCCCTCTTGGGTGCTGGCGACGGCGACGGCAACGACAACGGCGATGCCGGTACTACGACAAAGAGCGTCGACGCCGTGCAGGTCTCCTGGCAGCAGGACCGCGCCGAGGCCCACAAGCTCCTCCGCTACGGCCGCGTGTACGGCGACAGTCTGGTGCATGAGATCATTGTTCCCAAGACATCGGCGGATGGGGGGACAGCGGGCGGCGGCAAGGCAAAGGACCTGGTGTCCGGCATGGCGGCGCCCGCGGGCGGACTGAACCAGACGGGCCGCTCAGCGCTACAGATGTTTCCCCGCAGCCGCGCGACGGTGGCGCGTGGCCAGACTTGGGGCGAGGCGGCCAAGTCGCAGGTGCAGGCGCTCAAGGGTCTGCTGAAGACGCTGCCGGGTGTTGGTGGGCAGGCGCACGGCGGTACAAGTGTGAGAAAATCGGTGACGTTTGATTGTTAGATGTGAGCGTTGGAAGCAGCAGGTGCACGACATGGATTCGTTGATGTGTGTCTGCGCACACTAGTGAGTCCCAAGAGGCTTTACAGCCTTGTCTTGCACTCTACAAACAGCGGACCAGAGCTCCATGTTCTCAGGGCTAGAGCCAATCAAGAACAGAGTAGCGGGGCGGCAGCTACCAAAAAAGTTCATACTATCTTTTATCGAAGCCATTTTTTACCACAGAGCAGAACCAAAGACCAATAGACGACGATCCGATTGAATTGAGATACCCGTGGCCCAATTACGCGTTCGAACAGAAAAGACTCACACTTACACGCTTCAAAAGAAACCTCGCAACCATGGCCACGACGCAGCACGTGCTGCTGTCGCCCGCCGAGCTGGCATTCCTCCATACATCGCTGGCGCAACAACCACCCATCCGCCCCGATGGGCGTACACCCGCACAGTTCCGTCCCCTGCGCGCCGAGACGGGCATGCTCCCTGGCGCGAATGGCAGTGCTCGCATATGCTTTTCCGATGGGACAGAAGCCATTGTCGGCGTCAAGGCACAGGTCGAACGCACAAGACGAGGCGAGGGCGGCGTGGGCGATGGCGATGACGAAGAGGAGGAGGAGGAAGACGGCTTGTGGGCCGACGCCGACGACGACGACGGCGGCGACGGCGAAGGCACAAAGGGGGGTGCTAAGAATGGAGGTGGCGGTGGTGGTTCGGGCGGCAATGCGTCGCCGTCGTGGGTCGAGGTGACGGTCGAGATTCCAGGTGTGCGCGACGACGACGCGAGCACGGTCTTTCTGGGCGCTCTTCTGGCCGAGGCGCTGCTGGCGGACGGTGGGCTCACAAAGGCACTGCGCATCAACCGGCGGTTCCACTGGAAGCTGTTTCTGGACGTGCTGCTGATCTCGCCACCGCTGTCCTACCCGCTGCCCCTGCTGTCGCTGACGACGCATCTGGCGCTCCTGGCGACGCGGCTGCCCCGGCTGGTGTCGGAGGGCGACGAGGACCCGTTCTTTGACGACGACTGGGATGCATCGACATTCCTATACGCACAGGAGCACACCTCCCAGTCAGATAGCATGGCATCAACATCAACACAGTCCCGGCCGCCCATCACGCTGCTCGTCATGACCGTCGGCGATAACATTCTTTTTGACCCCACGGCGGAGGAGCTGGCTGTGGCCAATGCTGTGCTGGCCGTCTCGGTCGGCCGAGTGGCTTCTTCGTCTTCTTCTTCCTCTTCCTCCTCCTCCTCCTCCTCCCTCCGTCTTCTTGCCATTCGCACCATTGACCCGCCTTCTCGGCTCACGGCTCCCGGAACACCATACGACCCCGACGCGAACAAGCCCAAGGCAACACCAACACCAACGGCACAACAAGACGGCAAACCGCCCGCTGCCACGGCTCGCCTGGCCTCGGAGACGGAAGACGTCTATGGCGTGTGGCGGGCACCCCGTGGCGGTGCCAAAGTGGCGCTGCTGGCGGCCATGACGCACAAGGTCCTGCAAAAAGGCGGTGTGGCTGACGAGGTCTTTGCCGGCCTGGAAGGCGTCGAGATTGTATAGGGGATGACTTGGACGATTTGTTTTATGCTGCTGCATCTTTGGAGAAACGACAAACGGCTGGGATTAACGGCGGACTGGGCGTCAAGAGTTATTGTGGTCATGTGCATTTACTTTCACGTTTGCCAGATACAATGCAGTGGCATACATTTGCAGCCGCTTTGAATGCCCAATTTTGACATTGTCTTTTTAAGAAAACAATATTCGTACACTATAGTTGTGCTCTCGCTCAATTGCATTGCCACATGAGGATGGAGAAGGAAGAATTACAATATGGCACCGACAACGGGGCACCTAAAAGATCCCGAGGAACTTCTTCCGCGGCCCGGCCTCTGCAGGTTCCTCAACCGGGGCCTCGCCGCGGACCGGCGATGCATCGTCCACCTCGTTGCGGGGCGGTGGCACAGGGCCCTGGTTCTTTTTGCCATCACCGCCAAACCAGCCACCGTTGCTGCCAAAGCCCACCGTCTCGTCCAGGCCGTGTGTGCCTTGCGGTACATGGTGCGCTTTGCCACGTCGTCCACGCGCATCTGCCGCCGCTCGGCAATCACAGTCACGCGGTGGTGCTCTGTCAGCCGCACCACCTCCATCGTCGTGCGGGCCGCCAGGATTGGGTGCTGCATCGCCTCGCGCCATGTCGGCAGCATGTCGACAAACGGCGACGTCCGCCGGAAGTTCTCGACGAGCGTGAAGACGGCCAGCGCGGCCAGGGTGGACATGGTGATGCCCAGGTGGAAGGCGCGGCTCGTCCAGAACCAGTGCGCCCACGTGCCCGGCGGCGCCATCATACCCGGGTACTGGCGGGTGCGCTGCGCGGCGCGTTCTGCCGCGGACAGGTCGCCGCCGTAGTGCTGGGCGGCGGGCGCATTGGCGTTGCGCCGTGGCAGGCGGGCGCCATGCGACGGCGGGTTGAACTTGGCCGGCTTCTCGAGGACGTGTCCCGGGCTGCCACCCGCCGGCGATGGCGAGGCTGTAGATGTAGAAGCGCCGCCGGCCTTGGGCGGGCGTGTCGAGGCGTTCCGGACGCCCTGGATGATGCCCGTGCAGCCGCTGGTCGAGGACGCCGTCGATGTTGCCGCGGGCCGACGTGCGGTCGCCGACAGCCGCGACGCAAATGTGTGCTGCTGCTGCCACATGGGCCCGCGCCGGGGCAAAAGGAATCGAGGAATCGTAGCCATGGCCGCCGGATGCTGTCGTTGCTTGTGGTTTGGTGGTAGGAAGGATGGGGGACTCGAGGTCGTTGCAGTCGGCAGAGGGGCACAAAATGCAAAATGAGGAACGATTGACCGCCCCCACCAAACCTCTTGACCTCCCAAGTAGTGTCACGTGCGCCACACAATGGGGTAAACCATCGACTCGAGTACGTCGTCCACGTCACGATCCATGCTCGGCATTGACGGACGTTGGTCAAGCAAGCAGCAAACTCCAAACGTCCTCTCTACTTGATCAATTGGCCGCCCTTGTCAATTTTGCGACGGCCAATCCAAGCGGGTGCAGACCTGCACCCATCGGCGGCCTTTGCTCGGAGAGCTATGAATTCAAGCAGTTCTCATATCGGATAGTTGCATATTAGTGGTGACGAAAGAAAGCAACCTTTGTTTTTCCTCTAATACGACGTGGTCTGTGAATCCACCAGTGACAGACCCCGTGAGTCCTCCCGTGCTCAAAACAGCCAGACCATCGTACGATGTAAGAAACTCGGTGCTGATAGCAGTCCGAAATACGAGATATGCTTGGATGCCTCAGACAGAAACCACCAACAGCACCAGTAAACTGCTGGGGTAAATGGCCAACGGGCTTAAAAACGGCACAAAGGTACGACGTCTCCGTTCTCTGGCAGGCTGTTGGGCCGATGAGCCTTGCCTGTCGTGCCTTTGCCAGGCTGCTGTGAAAAAGAAAGGCTTCGATTCGCCAATTCCGAGTCCGCTAGAAAAGTCTGGACTGAAAACTGGATCTATTGTCCACAGTATTCTGTATACAGTAGTCGGAAAACGCGGTGTTTGCTTTTGGTTCTGTGTGCTGAAGAAAATCTCGTTTTCGTTGCCTCAACACCGGGTCGCTGCAAAATTGCAGCGCCAATTTTGTTTTCTTTCTTTCTTTTTTTTTTTTGCCAACTGTCCTTCAGTGAGCTCTTTTAGAGAATTTTATTACCGGCCTCTCCCGATGGTGTGGGTACCTGACTCGCCTGCCTTTTCTGTCAGCTACGTTCAAATGCGCGGCTGCTGATTGGCTGCGCATGCGCTAGCACGCGCCCCGAGGCAAGTCCGCCACTGACGGGGATTGTGCGCCGTTTTTGGGCTAGTTTTGCAGGCCTCTTCTGCCGCTGTACAGAAGGTACAGTGAGGGACCACCGCCAAAGCAGGGAAGGGGCGGGCCCATGCCATGAGCGCTGGCTGCTCCTTCTCCGGGAGGCCAATCCATTCCGTCACCCTGCGTTTATTCGTTCGGTCCTGCCTAACCTCTTTTTTTCCCTCGATCTCCTGTTTTTTCCCCGATTTGTTTTTTCTTTTTCTCGTCTTCCGTTTTCTGCCCTCTTCTTCTTCCCCTTCCGCTTCTTCTTCCCACGCACTCAATTACGCACCACCAGCTTCACTTCCAATCCCACATACTCTCCTCTACTTCTCTTTTCTTTGCAACCTCCCACAGCATCACACAAAATGCCTGCCGGAAAGGGTAAGTTGTTTTCTTCTCGACTCTGATTTCCTTCTTCTGGGAAGCTTCGTTTTGCCGCAAGACAAAGTCGTGCAAGGCTGGGTCTCGACTGTCGAAAGCTGCCGCCCAGAGCATCATGCCACAATGCGCCCTCATTGCTCGCCCCCGCTGTTTGCGCCTTTGCCCTCCAAGCGTCTCACCGCCGTTCGCCGCAAGCCCAAAAGCTTCCACTCCGTCGTGCACAGTCCGCGCAAGCCTGACGAAGCTGGAACTCGTGGCCCATGGAACAATACCTCTTATGGAACTGTCCCGGGCCTCGGCTGGTGAAGGTTATGGCTTGGAGCGGGTGGCCGGCGCATGAGAGCTGGAAATCACTCTGCACGCTCGTTAATAGTATTGCAGCGGGGGGAGCTGTCTTCTTGCGCTGGACCGGACGGGCGACTTTGAGCGACGGCACAAGGGGTGGTCTTTGGGCCAGCTTTCGACTTGTTGGCTGCCTTGGCTTTGCCTACTGTGAAAATGAAAACAATGAAAACGAGAAACTGCTAACACAGGACCACAGGTGACTCGAAGAAGGGCGCCAGCCTGTTCAAGACGCGCTGCGCTCAGTGCCACACCGTCGAGAAGGACGGCGGCAACAAGGTCGGCCCCGCTCTGCACGGCCTGTTCGGCCGCAAGACCGGCTCCGTCGACGGCTACGCCTACACCGATGCCAACAAGCAGAAGGGCATCACCTGGGACGAGGGCACTCTGGTACGTTGGCCCCCAACTTCTCACCCTCAGACGTCGTCGCGAGCCAATTGTCTTGACATGCCAAATCTAACACCGTTTCTAGTTCACCTACCTGGAGAACCCCAAGAAGTACATCCCCGGCACCAAGATGGCCTTTGGTGGCCTGAAGAAGGACAAGGACCGGAACGACCTGATCGCGTAGGTTTACTGGCTGCCGCACTTGAGTTTACCGATTCCAAAATTGTATACTGACAGCTTGCAGCTACCTGAAGGAGTCCACCGCATAAGCGGCCCAACGAAGGACGGGCGACGGTTGTTTGGCGTCGATGCGTTTTTGTTTTGCATTTTCGGCCGAGATGACGATTTGAAAGAAATGAAAAGAACCCCGGCGCGTTGTACAACAGTAGCGAAGGAAGAGACGGACGACGGAAGACGGCATAAAAAGAAACCATTCCGCACCAATTTATATACGAAAAATATTTCAGCAAAATTTCACCCATCCACTCGATAGAGCCGGACCGAGACGGAGAGAGAGGCACCCGCGGTGAGCACCAGCAAACGGGCCTCCCGGACCACCTCCTTTCTCGGATCGGCATACACAGAACCCACCATATTAGACAGGGCCGAATAGAAACAGATGCACGAGATATAAGAAATGGGACAGCGAGGCAACACAGCTTTCCAGGAACGAGCTTTCTTATAACCTTGGAAGGCGAACGACCGGATATATAAATGATGGTTTATACAAGGGACTGTTTGGAGACCGAGTCGAGGTGTTGGACTTTGTTTCTCGTTCTCTTCTCTGTTGCGTTAATTCGTTGAGATTTAGAGACCTCGTTACGCTCTGACCTTATTTTCCAAAGCTGGCTTGCCATGAAAGACTGTTCATTCGTTCATTCGTGGTTGACGCCTTCTAATCAAAACAAGCACATTCTCCCCTCTTGACATAATCTGCATACTGAAGTTTTGTGAGATGTGCATATGTAGGTCGCAATGATATTATAAATACATGTATATTGTATATGTACCGCTACACACCACCCCTCGTCTTAGTGCAGCTTCTCGTACCGCCGCAGCTCTGCGAGGCTCGTGCTCGGCTGCGTCTCTGCAAGCGCCTCCTCCCAGTCGTCGGCCGTGATCTTCGGCATCTCTGCGCTGTGCAGGCCGGTCCGGTCTAGGCTGTTCTTACCCGCAGTCCGCAGCAGGTGGTCCAGGTCGGCGCCCGAGAACCCAGTGCACCGTGCATCCATGGCCACGCCGTGAATGACGTCCATCGTCGCGGCCATGTCCGGGTCGCCCGGGATCGCGTTGCGGTACAGCGTCTGCAGAATCGCCACGCGGTCTTCGGCCGTCGGCGGCCCAACAAAGATGCTCTCGCCCAGGCGGCCGGGCCGCTTCAGGGCCGGGTCGATAATGTCCGGCCGGTTCGTCGCGCCAATCACAAACAGCCCCGTGCGGTCGACCACGCCGTCCAGCTCCGTCAGCAGCGTGTTGACAATGCGCGCGCTGCCGTCGGACCGCGCGTCGTCGCGCTTCGCGGCCAGGGCGTCCATCTCGTCAAAGAAGATGATGCACGGCGCCATGGCCCGCGCCCGCTCAAACAGCTCGCGCAGCGCCCGCTCCGACTCGCCGACCCACTTGTTGAGCAGCTCGGGGCCGCGGATCGAGATGAAGTTGGCCTTGGACTCGTTGGCCACGGCCTTGGCCACCAGCGTCTTGCCGCAGCCGGGGGGGCCCCACAGCAAAATACCGCCCATGGGCTTCTGGCCGACGGCGGCGTACTTGTCCGGGTACCGGATGGGGCCGATGATTGACATTTCCAGCTTCTTGCGCAGGACCTCCATGGCGCCGACCTGCTTCCACGTCGTGTTGGGGATGGTGCTGAAGCCCTCGCGCTTGGCGGCCGGCAGGACCGACAGCGCGGCGTCGCGGAAGTTTTGTGACGTGATGCCCTCTGCGCGCGGTGCCGCTGTTTCCAATATCCCGTTTGCCGCGTGTGTCGCCTCATCGTCACCGGATGCTGCCGCTGTCGAAGCGGCCGTTGAAACGCCCATGGCAGCGGCCGCCAGCGACCGCTCGTCCTCGTGCGCATTCAGCAGACGAATGTCCCGCTGCACATCAGACACCGTCTCTGCGTCGTCTGGTGTCGGCACAGTCGTGAGTGTCATCCGTGTATCCTCCTGTGCCTCGCCCTCCGGCCATGCGGACCCGCCACCATGTCCAATCTGCTCCGGCCCCGCCGTCGCCCGCAGGCGGCGAAGCACGGCGTCCAGCTTGGCATCCATGTAGTTGCGCTGCGCCGTCTTGACCACGTTCTGCAGGTCGCCGCCGACAAAGCCGGGCGTCATGCGCGCAATGGCCTTGAGGTCCACGTCCTCGGCAAACTGCATGCCGCGTGTCATGGTCTGCAAGATGCGCTCGCGCGCATCCTGGCTCGGCATCCGCACCGCAATCTCCACGCCGAACCGCCGCCGCACCAGCGGATCCAGGCTGTCGGCCTTGTTGGTCGCGGCCAGCACAATCACGTACTTGCCCGTGTTGGCCTCCGCATTCAGGCGGTCGATGCAGCTCGTCAGCGTCAGCGCCATGCGCATCTCCATGGGGCCCTTGCCGGACGCATCCTGCTTGCCGGCCAGCGCCTCGATGGCGTCGAGGAAGATCAGGCTCGGCGCCTGCCGCACGGCCTCGTCAAAGATGGCGCGGATGTTGGTCTCGGACTCGCCGCTGATGCCGCCGATCAGCGACGGGCCCGACACGGAGAAAAACGGGACGCGCGCCTCGGCGGCCACGGCGTTGGCCAGCAGTGTCTTGCCACAGCCGGACGGCCCGTACAGCAGCACGGCCTCGTTGGGCCGCGAGCCGCTGTCCTTGAAATCGCACCCGCGCCGCAGCGGCATCCACACCAGCCGGATCAGGTCGCGGAGGATGTCGTCCATGCCGGCAATGTCTGCAAACGTCGGTCCGTCGGACGGCAGCGTTGTTGGCACGACGGCGCCCTTTTGTTTGCGCTCTCGGTTGTCGCTGTCGCTTCCGCCATCCCCATCGCTGCTGTCGTCGTGCCGCCGCCGCTTCCGTTTTCGCACAATGCGGCCGTTGGCTGCACCGCCCTCGGCGCCCGCCCGCCGTATCCGTTTTCCCGTCGGTGCGGATGCTGTTGCTGTGCCGTCCCCCTCTGCTGCTGCCTCGCCCTCGGGCGCAGCCACACCATCGGCTGCTGCATCCATCGCCGTTGTACCGTCATGTGCCGCGGCCGTTGCCTGCGCGTCGGTGGACGACGTTGGTTGTGATGTCGCTGTGTCTGCTGTGCCTTGTTTGGCCGCCGCCGCAGACTCGTTCGCCTTCTCCGCCGCCTGCATCGCCTGTGCCGCCATGGCTGCGCCCAGACGGTCGTCGAGCACTTTGGACGCCAGCGCCTCCAGGTACTTTTTCTTTTGCCGGGCGATGGCGTGGTTCCGGATCTGTTGCAATTGCCCAACCAGCATCGACACGGTGGGACGGACTGCTCCTGGCTTGCCCGCGTCGTACTCTGCATACAGTGCCTCAGCCACCTCCTCCGCTTTCCGCTCCTCCTCGCGGCGGAAGACAAAGCCGTTTCTGCCAGCCGGAGGCGTCATCTGCCTGATGGGCGTCGATACAATGACCCTCAAAATGGAATGACTGAACGGAGGAGGTCAAAGTCACAGAAGTCGTCGCAAACAGGCTGGAAACGGTGACACACAGCCGCTTGGGACAGCTGCTCGATTTCGCAACCAGAGAGAATTCACTATGAAGATCGCAAGGCTGATCCGAACTTTTTTTTGGTTCCTACTCACTTATCTCTTATCCTGGTTATCTCCACGTGATTATCCTCGCCACTTTAAAATAGCCTGGACAGCCTCACAGCCTCACAGCCTCACAGCCTTGCCGTCATTTTGCAGATGCTCTTGCATTGTTCCACGCGGATATGGAACTTGTCCTTTTTTGTTAACGTTGTGCGGTGAATTATCGTTGTGAATCCCATCGATTCCCATCGATGCCAGAGGCAATTGTAAATTCAAAATAAGTCGATTCAGCGGGCCAAAAAACACTACACTATGAAGGTTGCAATCTAGATAAAAACGAGGCTGTTGGCGCTAACATGATCCAGGTATCGTTGTCGTGAGAGAAATTTACGCAAAATTGGAGGGGAAAAGAGGAAACAAAGCAAGGGGTCAGGTTGGGAGCAGTCTAGAGAAATCCAATCAGATAGAGTAAGAAAACAGATCGAGGATGGCAAGCCAACGGCGAGGTTAGTAGACGCTGCCCTGGATGCTCTTGTCATCGCGCTCCGCTTGGGCCATGTCAGGGTCGACGTCGGTCTCATCGTCTCCGTTCGAGTCGACGAGGACGACACCCGCGTTGAGAAGCTCATCGGTCGCGTGCAACTCGTCAGCACCCACGTCAGTGGTGTCACCGTGGTCGTGGTCGTGGTCGTGGTCGTGGTCGTGGTCGTGGTCGTGATCGTGATCGTGATCGTGATCGCAGTCGCTGCAGTACGGCGCGTCGCCCAAGCGGTTGGCCATGTTCTTGGTGCGTTTCTTGCGAATGTTGCTCAGGTTGGACGAGCCACCACCCGCACTACCGGTCGACATGGGTCCGCCTTGCGGCGTAGACACTGCCGCCGCAGCCTCCGTCTTGCTCGTACCACTGCGCGGCATCGTGGCAGACGCAGCAACGGCATCAAGCGTGCCGTACACGAACCTGTCGCTGCTGTGACTGCCATAATAGTTGTGGCCGTGGCCGTGACTGTGGCTGCGCGTGTACTGCGCACCCGACTCCGTGGAGCTGCCAGCGTGCAGCTTCAAGTGTGCCATGCGGTGCCGCACGCGGTCGTCCTCCGACGAGTCGGCGTCGCTTGTGTGTCCGCTGTACGTTCCGCCGAAATCGCGCCCAATATGCAATAACGACTTGGGCTTGGGTGGCGGCGAGCTGCCGGGCGAAACGGCCCGCTGGCGGTCCTCGGGCGTGATAAACGAGGGCGTGGCGTCGGGCGACGAGACAATCTCCTCGCGGGCACGCGTAATGTCAATATGGGGAGGCGCCAAACTACCCGCTGCGCCGCTGCCGCTGCCAGTTGCATTTGCTGCATGTATTGCGCTCTTGTTGGACGCATCGTTGCTCGTGTCGTTCGAGGCCTGCGATGAGGGCCGGTTGTCGTCGTCCACTTCATCGCCACCATCACCGCCATCGTCGTCGTCACTGTACCCAGCCACCTGGAAGCGGCGCACGGCGGTGGTCCGCCGAGAAAGCGAGGGTGGAGTGCCGCTGCTGGTTTTTCCGTGGCCGTGGTTGTTGATCGCCGACGTCGATTTCGACGTGCGCGGGCTGCCATTGGCATTGTCATAGACGTTGGTCCCGTCGCGTAGAATTAAATCGGCGAGTCCAGGACGGATCTTGAAGTTCTTATCGTGATTGCAACCATTAGGACAGCCGCCCCATCGTCTTTGCGGCACCAATGCTGTGGAGGACGGGGAGGACAAACCGGATTCAGCCCGTTCCAATTTTGCGCTGTCTTTGTCTCCCTTTTCGCTCTTCTCCTTGGAAGCGAGTTCCTCTTTCTGTTTGAGGAGCGCGGCCCGCTCGCGCCGCAGCTCGGACCAGGTGCGGAGCTTGCTCTCGAGTTTGTACTTGCCGCTGTCCCCCTGCTTGCGCATAATGAGGAACTCGCAGTGGTTGACGTTGCGCAAGTCCTCAAAGTACTCGACGCTAAAGTGGTACCACTTCATGAGGAAGACGCGTGACATGAGACCATGTGTGACTTGAAGGTGTCAGCTCTTGCTGTATGGAAGACGTGGGGGGGAAGAATAGACGTACCGAGAACACAAACACTGGGAAAGTCATCCTCGCCAAATTGGCGCCACAGGCTTTCGTTGAAGCCCGAGACGCGGTCGTAGGCGTCGGCGGCGCTTTCGCCGTTGGGGATGCGGTAGAAGAAGTGGCCGTAGTCGGCACGTTCCTGCCACATACGCTCCATTTCCGCGCTGCAGGGCTGAAAATTGCCGAAATCCTGTTCGCGGAGACGGGGCTCCTCGTAGACCTTGATGTTGTTGCGCTTAAACGGGGAGGGTTCCGGGTCGTCTGACGTCAGCGTCTGCAAAATGCCTTCCGTGGTCTCACGCGTGCGGCGATACGGCGATGTGAAGACCTGAATGGTATCGTCGGCGCGCAGAAGGGCACGCAGACGGCGACCGGCATCGTACGCCTGCTGCCATCCTTCGTGGGTCAGGCGGACCCGGTGGTCCGGGATGGTCTGGTGGATGTCGCGGTTTTCTAAGGTGGGAAGCAGGTTGTCAGCATACCATCCAGACTTGAGACGCGCCAGCAAGGAAACAGCCCACGGTGGTTACGCACTGTTGCCTTCAGACTGGCCGTGTCTGACAATGATGAGGAGTCTCGGCTTTCCCATGGTCGATATAGGTCACGCCAGGGAAGAGCAAGGAAGAGCGCGGGTTGGGCGCGACGGAAACTCCAGCACGAAGAAAAAGTGTCGGAGCAGTTTTGAAGCGATGCCCGAAGGGAGAGAATCAACAGAGTTGCTTGGTTCACAGGCGAGGTGTATGAGACGAACAAGTGTGTATGAGGTGACGATGTGGACCTCAGCGAGTAGTCTGACGAAAAAGACGGTTGCTTGTCTGGACGTTCGTACGAAATACTTGTGGCGACTTTATCGTCCTGGGGGGACTAGTGTTTGAAGCTAGGCCGAGGGCGCGGCGGTTAAGGTAAGAGACGGGTCTTACGTAGCCTGGCCAAACTGAATGCCAGCGTCGACCTGTGAGACGAGCACCGGTTCGAGACAGAGCAGTCAGGGCGAAGAAAGGAAATAAAGAAATGAACAGGAAAAACTGCCAACAAGCGGCGTACACGCCACAGAAGAGGACTCGCTGCTGCGCCGGTTTAACCGCAGGGAGAGTGCTGAAGGTGCGTCGATGTAGACGCAAGGATGCAGCTTGGTTGTTGGCCGTTTGTAGATGGTGTGGTTGTGTTGACGATGTGAGTCTTCGTGCCGTGGTATTAAAGTGCAAACAAATTGGGTTGCCTTTATTTTTATTTTATTTTTATTTTTTTTCTGTCAGGGAAAGTGCGACAACGGGACGGCTGGGGAAAGAGCTGTTGCCACAACCAACCGGAACCAACGAATATGAACATCTGAAGGAAGGTGCGGCCAGGCCTGCCCCAGCAGCGGCAGTCGTTCACAGGGAAGGTGCCTAGATCGGCGGGAGTTGTCGGGCTGGAGGACTGGCGCGATTTGTTCGGCGGCAAAGGCCAGGCACAGCGAATGGCGTGTTTGCTTTGAGGTGTGTGCTAGGCGGCAGCTGGTTCTGGCGTGAATACGATCTAATTACAGGGGTCTTGCAGCGTTAACGGCCAGTCGCGGGCAGGCCGTTGTCGGTGCTGGCTTTTGTTTGCGATCACGCAGACAGGAAAACAGACGGTAGCCACCGAAGCGGGAAGGTTTGATAGCAGACGACAGTGTCTTCGCTTCACTTGTTGGTCCTGGGTTCGAATTTACTTGAAGCAGTTGGAACGTCCATGAATTCGTTTCTGGGCAATTCGATGCGGCTGTTGTACATGAACTGTCAAGAGACTGACATTTTCAAGGGAAATCATAAAAAACTCTTACTATTGAAAGTCCTGCGTATCGCAGGTCTTATTTCAATAAGTCTGGGCGTCAAAACGAGGTAAGATATCTTGAGATGCCGTACTGACGACTTACACGACTTTTGGTGCGCTCTGCGCTATCTCCATCTCGAATTTGATCACGTGCAGCTCCACTGGGCTAGGCTAAGCGTATTTTCACCTTCTGCCTTCTACAATCACGACGTCAACATCAATCGTCTTTTTCAACACCCTGACTTCTCGTCATTGCAGCCTCACTTTTGACCGTCGATTCTACCCCCACAAACCATTGTCGCCGTCCTCTACTGCGTACCCACCATGTCCGGCGAAGGCCCCGAATCTATCCCCACCTCGGCCGACCGGCGCTCAAAGCGGCCGGTCAAGAAGCGCGCCCTGACACCTGTCTCTGCGCAGGCGGCAGGACTGGATGCGCTGTTTGCTAAACCCGATCAGGCAATAAAAATCCCAGTGTCCGCTGATGTCGCCCGCTTGCGAGGCTCGGGCGGGGGCGCACCCCCTGAGATCATCTCCAATGTGCAGGGCTCGAGCTCCGGTGCTGGCAGTGGCGAGTTCCACGTATACAAGGCGAGCCGGCGGCGGGAATATGCACGGTTGCGCGAGCTAGAGGAGGACGCAGCACGCGATCGGGACGCCATTGATTTTGAAAAGGAGAAGCGCGAGCGCGAAGCACGCGACGACGAGAAGACGAAGCGCAACCGCGAGAAGCGGGAAAAGGCAAAGGCGCGCAAAGCCAAGAGCGGCAAGAAGGCGGGCGGCAACGGCAGTGGTGCAGCAGCAGTGCCATCAACAGCGGCGTCCTCAAAACCCGTCGTACCAAGCGTCGAGCGCGACGGTGACGACGAGGAGGACAGCGAAAGGAGCACCAACGCCGCGGCGGCAAACGGCAACAAGGACGACGAGAGCCACGCAACAAGCCGAGCATCCAGCAATGCAAACGGTGCCAGCGGATGGACAAGCCAAGCACCAGTTGCACAAGATCCCCTACAGGCTGCTGAAGGACCCGGCCTGCTTATCCAAGACGATGACGATTGAGAGCCGCGCAGTGCAGACAGCATACAACCGACAACTACACACTCAGCGTCAGCTGGTGCATTCGCTGTTTTATTCCACGAACAAGCACGCCAAGCAGACCAAGCAGATTAAGCGGTAACCTCGACCGGTACAGATGTGTTCGCGAATGTCTTCCTAGAGGGCAGTCCATTTGTGATCCGTGTCATACAAGGAAATCGAAATATCGAATGAGAGAGCGCAGGACACATGTCCATGGCGACTGGGAGTTCCAAAAGATTACCAAGGCACGCCGTTTGTCAGGCGACACAAAAATGATACAGGATATTATTTTTTTGTGACCATCTCGAGACGCCTAAGCCATCCCTACTATACATGAATGCAACTATTTATGTTCTGCCTTGGGCAGCCGATTTCAAAATAAAAGGTCCATATGTTTTGTCTTACCGGTTGTTTATTTTTTATTGTATTTCATCCTTCTCCTTTCCTCCGCCACCCACACACGATTTCCTCAAAGATTGTAAATCCCACGTTTTTGCGTAAAGCTCGCACGTTTAGCTGACCTCGGCAAGGCTGTGTGGTTGATTGTCAGAGACAAGGCGCAACATCCCCCTCTTACGAGTGGACTCTCTATTCGTCACCACCAGCACCCGTGCCCACACCTGGTTGTGCCTTCTTGGCACTGCAGATGTCGTCGACTCTCAGCAACAAGCAGGCGGCCTAAAGGGGAGAAAAACACAAAATGTTAGCGGCCATCGTGTCCAAATCAAAAAAAAAAAAAAAAAAAAAAAAAAAAAAAAAGAAAAAAGAAAAAAAAAAAAAAGGATGGCAGACATGGCAAACATACCTCGATCGCCGTCTTGATGCTCTGCACCTTGATCGCCTCCGGCTCCCACACACCGTACTCCTTCATGTCCACCAACGTGCCCGCATCGCCGTTGATGCCCCACGTGCTCTTGCCCTCGGCGTGCTTGGCGCGCAGGTCCGTGATCACGCGCACGGGGCTCTGGCCGGCATTCTGGATCAGCGTCCGCGGGATCACCTCGAGCGCATCGGCCACGGCCTTGTACGGCCACTGCTGCACACCCTCAATGTTCTTGGCCAGCTGGCCCAGCCGCACGGACACGGCCATTTCGGTGGCACCGCCGCCGGGCGACAGCCGCGGATTGAACATGACGTTGCGGGCGACGCCCATGGCGTCTTGCAGGTTGCGCTCAATCTCGTTGAGGATGTCCTTGGACGGGCCGCGCAGCAGGATCGTGCAGGCCTTGGGGGTGGTGCACTTGGTCAAAAAGGTAAAGTACTCGTCGCCAATCTTCTCAATCGCAAAGAGACCGCACTTGGTGCCGACATCCGACTCCTGCAGGTCCTCGACGCGGTTGACAATCGTGGCGCCGGTGGCGCGGGCGATTCGGTTGTTGTCCGTCTTGCGCACGCGGCGCAGGGCCGTCACGTTGGCCTTGAGCAGGTAGTGCTGTGCCAGGTCGGAGACGCCCTTTTCTGTGATGACAATGTCCGGATGGACGGCGAGCACCGCGTCGCACATGGCCTTGACCTGCTCCTCCTCAATCTGCAAGATGCGGTTCCAGTCCTCCTCCTTGGAGATCTCAATGTTGGTCTGCGACTCGCCCTTCTTGTACTCGAGCGGGCAGTCCAGCAGCACGATGCGCGGGTTCTCAATCGTCCGGCGCATCTTGGGGTGCGTAATGTCCTTGTTGAGCATCACGCCGTCGAGCACGCGGCTGTCCTCGATCTCGCCGCCGGGCACCTTCTCGACGCGTGCGTAGCGCTTGATGTCGACCTCGGGGCGACCGCCGTTGCCAATGTCCCAGACGACGGTGCGGACGGCCTTGAGGGCCAGGTCGCACATGAGCTTCGACCAGCGGGACACAAACTTGGTGCCGATCGAGGAGTTGATGAGGCCGTACATGGCCTTGTCGTCGTCAATGTCAATGGGCAGCGAGATCTCTTCTATGATTTCGAGCGCGTCCTTGAGGGCGCGCTTAAAGGCAGAAATGATGACGACCGGGTGGATGTTGCGCTCGAGTTGTGGCAGCGCCTGGGCCAGGATCTCGCCGGCCAGGATGATGACCGTCGTTGTGCCGTCGCCGACCTCCTCGTCTTGTGTCCGGCTCAGCTCGATCATGCTCTTGGCGGCCGGGTGCGACACCTCAATCTCGCGCAGAATCGCGTGGCCGTCGTTGGTCAGGACAATGCCGCCCATTGGGTCGAGCAGCATTTTGAGCATGGCCTTGGGGCCCAGGCACGACCGAATGATGTCGGCGACCGTCTTGGCCGCTGCGATGTTGGACAGCTGCGCCTTGCGGCCAGTCTGTCTCTCACCGCCTCCGGTGTCTGTGCAAAAAAAAGAAAAAGAGCAGCAGTTAGTTGTCTGTCCTCTGTCGTCTGTCGCAGGAGAGGAGCTGCAGAGCGGCGGTCACGGGGTAGGAGCGAGCTCCAGAAAGCTCCTCATAAGCTCCGAGAAGCCTCATGCACTCCTCCAATGTTTGCAATACATACTCATCACCAGCACGGGGGCCTGCATCCTTGCTGTTTGGTAAAGGGGCTCTGTTGGGTGGTCGTGGAGTCGGAAGAAAGAAGCTTTGAAATAGCTTCAGGCCGCTGACGAAGTCGAAGTCGCCTGGGGGGAAAACAAGTCGAAAAGTCGACGCGGACACTATGCAGTCGTGTGCAATATGTTCAGGCAAGATGAGCAATATCGGGTATGGAAAAACAGAAAAGAAAAAAAAGAACGAGGCAGAGTAGAGCAAGTGCTGTCTTGACGTGCGTTCTCAATATGCGTTTGCCTAGTTTCGATCGCGGGTCGTTGAAAATAATAGGAGATGGCCCCGCCGAAGCCTCCAGACACAAACGCTAGGAAAAAAGTGATTCGCCGCCAGCCAGAGCTACCGCTGTGCTTTACCCCCTGAAGGCTATTGCTCCAACAGCGAGGGGTGGTGGCGGATTAAAGGTACGTCCGGCGGCCGCTACAGTCTCCGCTGAGATAAGATAAGGAGTCCCGATAAGGAGTTTTGATAAGGAATTGCACGTGACAAATCACGTTTAATGGTGTTTGCTTTCCGGAGTCGCTTTACACCGGCTGGACCTTCCTCGTTCGCGCTTTGGGCACTCAGGCACACCCCGCATCTCAGTTCGCTATCAGGGCTTAGCCATTTACATAGTGTCTCGATGGTCTGGATCTGCTTGGCCAATGATGCAGGCCGAACAGCCACCTTGCCGACCATCGCAATGGACACTTGAATGTCTCCACGTGCCCATAACTGTACGACGCATTGTTTCTAGCTCGAGCACGAGTTGTCTTCACTATCAAGTAGACCAGTGCTGTGACCGAAGGATCCACCAAACACGGACGAATGGTCAAAACGGTATTTCCGCTGCTGAAAGTCTAACGTCAGTCGACGGCATTTCCTGTCACACTGGTCAACGGGAGAAGACGAAGACGAAGGGAAAAGACAGAATAAGAGAGAGATAACAGCAACTTCGCACAAGTCTCCGTATCAAAAAGGCTCACTTCTACGACTTACGCTTCTCACTGTTTCATTGTCAAGCCATAGCTTCCCGAGCTCCATCATGGCACCTTCGGCTACGATCGAAGACGGCTCTGCAGCCGCCGCGGGCAAGAAGACCGAGGAGGCAATTGTGTCTCCCAGCCGGGCCATCTCCCACGGAGACGAGCAGGAAGGTAGGCCCGTCCCACCACGACGACACGACTTACAAGTACACGATTGCTGACCTCGGGCAGGCATCCCCACGTTCCCAACGTTTGTCGAGGCTCGCCGGCACACGCTCGTCCACATGGCGGCGACGTTCCGCTACTTTGCGCGGCAGGGCTTCGTCGAGGGCCAGAGCGGCCACATCTCCGTGCGCGACCCCGAGTTCCCGGGCTGTATCTGGATGAACCCGCTCGGCCGCCACTTTGGCATGATGAACGCGGGCGACATGGTGCTGCTCGACATGGAGACGGGCCGCTTCATGGCCGGCTCCGGCAACCCCGCGGCTGCGGGCCGTACGGCCAACGCGGCAGGCTTCTTCATCCACCGTTCCGTGCACCGTGCGCGGCCACACGATGCCCATGCCGTGTGCCACGCGCACACGATGGCCGGCCGGGCGTGGGCGGCGTTTGGGCGGCCGCTCGACATGCTGACGCAGGACGTGTGCACGTTCTACGGCAAACATGCCGTGTACGCGCAGTACGGCGGCATTGTGTTTGCCGACGAAGAGGGCGAGCGGATTGCAGCGGCGCTGCAGCCGGCGCACCGGGGCGCCATCCTGCTCAACCACGGGCTGATCTCGGTCGGCCAGACGGTGGACGAGGCTGGGTTCTTGTTCGGGCTGCTGGACCGGTCCTGCAAGATCCAGCTGCAGGTGGAGGCCGCAGCGGCCAATGGCCTCAAAAAGCACCTGGTCAGCGACGAGGAAGCGGCATACAACGAGCGCATGGGCGCCGATGCCCATATATTGTACCGCGAGGCGCAGCCGGACCTCGAGTTTGAGATTGCGGCGGCCGGCGGCGAGGACGCCGTCGCCAGGGGCTTTGACCAGCTGGTGCTAAAGGTCGAGTAGACGGCAACAGTCTCTGCGCGAAAGACGTGCATGAGCACACATCTAACAAATTGATGTCCAGCGAATGCAGGCGTCTTGCATGGACGTCGTCGGACTTGGACAGGATGGTCGTGTGCTTTGAGGTTTGAGGAACGATGCTGTGGAGCTCTCTGTCTCGAATCTTGTTCAACACAGCAATAGCTTCATCGATACACAACAAAGCAAAGCAAGAACAGTGCCAATGTAGGCCTCCAAGTCATGCCTAACCCCTCGCTTGCTGCTGCATCTTGCGATACCACAAACTCCAGATCTCAGAATTTCAGGCTACACGGACGCTTTGGGGGCAATTTTGCCGTGCAGCGGGCAGCCGACAACTTTGCCATATGTCTCCCTTTCTCTCTCTCTCTCTGTCTGTCTTTGCTTTCTTTGCCAGCACCTTTCTCCATAAGACGAATGTCTCTTATCGACGATATTTCCCACAATGCCGCAAGACGACCGTGACAGGCCCCTTCTTTCCATCCCCGGCCTTCACAAGACACCGGACGGGGCAAGGTCCTGCTGGTGTCAATTGCCAGCACCTTTACTAGCCGTGAGGTGTTTGTCACTTTGGCATTGTTCGTTGACTAGAATCCAGTGCCAGCTCGTTTGGAGCATTGTGCGCAACGAAGTTCAAGTTCGACCTCGAGGCAGCATTGCCGATACAGATACACCAACCATTTCATACGAAGCACAAGCGAGTACATGTACGTCGCTCGTCGTGATCGGGAGGCTGCACCAGCAGTGTCGCACATTACACTTGCCGCATACAAACGAGAGTGTACCCATAACACTCATAATGCATCGACATTTGGGGAACAAGGCATATCCGGCGACACAGGCCTACGGGTGTGTCTGCTACTTGCCGTCGATGCTCTGCATATGGCGTTGTCTTTTGTGTGTGTGTGTGTTCTGCTACGAGTCTGTCTTGTCGAATGACGGTAAGCAACATCAGAGAATGAATAACAACACACGGATCCAGAAGGCGTTGAGTCAGAATAAGTGTCAAACTTAAGCAGTGATTAGCTGGGCATAACATGTCTCAAAGATTCAAGGAAGCAACATTTTCTGAAAGCTGTCTCTATGCGGTTTTTTTGTCCCCGGCAAAAGAGCTCATGGGGTAAGAGCATGGAACAGGGCTTGTTCGACTCCAGCGAGTCGGACGCGTTCCTCAACTGTCTTCTACCTCCTTCTCTTACTTCGCCTGTTGCCCGAGGTAAGCCAACCATGGCATCAGCCAATGGCTTGACTGTGCCGCGGAATCAGCCACTCACATAATATTACACTTTTGTCCAGAGACGCATACTCTGATACACCCCAGTGCCCCATACAGTGTACCGATAGCACGGCGCACGAGCACACGCGACTGGCACTCGAGAACGGCACACGTTGAAAGAGAAACAGAAAAAGAAATCCCGCTCCTTTCCGATATCAGAAACGAAGGCGTGTTGGGGGACAAAGGTGGGAGAAAGGGTCAGGCCGCGGTGCCGAAAACGCAGGACAGAGGAACTCGAGCAAAACCACGGGACGACAATGCAAGAACGAGAGCGTGAAGGCGAATGCCTTGGATCCATTGTACGGCAGACACATGGGCACAGGCACAGCAGCACACAAGACAAGAGGCCGAGACAGAGGCGCACAAGGCACAACGAGCTCCACATGAACGATGCAGGGGGCCGCGATGGGTGATCTCCGGAAGGACATGAGGACATGGCATCATTCGCGTGGTGTTACGTTTTACGACGCACTACAGTGGCAGCATGCGCCGCAGTGGATGCTCTTTGGGCATGAAAATGCGTTGTATTCCAGTCACGAAACAAACAACCGCACTGTGCACATGCATATCCTTGCGGCTGTCCATTCGTTCTTCGCTTTCACGCCGATGGATCCATAACTGGTTCGCCGCATAACATGTGCGGCACAAAGACAACACCAAGCACCAAGTCCGACATCAGCACCGCCGAGAAGGCCTCGCACACAAAGGAATGCATCCTGGCACGTCGAGTTGTCGGCTCGGAGGCGACCACGTCAGCTCACTCCACAGCTTACCGGTTTCTGAGTGGTTGGCTCAAAGAAGGTGCGCATCCAGCGCCATATGCAAAAAGGGAGTCGAAGGCGTGCTTCTCTGTTTCTTCCTATTCGGAGAACGGGAGGTCACTGCAGTCGGCCTTTTGATCACCAAAGCACACCATGCATGCCTCGCACGAGTCTGACAGGAACCAGCAATGGAGAGAGACAACAATTCAACACGTTGAACAAAAGAAAGAAAAGGGGCGGCACAAAGCTTTTGTGCAGACATTGTCGCCCATTTTCAGCCATTGTCAAACCATCTCCCCTCCTCTTGACACACGACGTATCACTGCTCCTTGTACTTCACCATCCCACAATAATCGAACGCCAAGGTACTGACAACAAACAGCTTCCTACGACGCGTATACAATTACACAAAATATAGGCCTCGACAGGGACGACAGCCTTCTTTCTGTCCCGCTCAGCACCTTGAGACGAGTCCGGTTGGTGCCTGTGCCGCCTGCGGGCCTTCCGAGGAGCAAAACACGGCAGAGGATGCCAGTGACATGGGAAAGACGCAACGTCGTCGTCAGGCCGTCTCGTTCAAGGTCGTTGTAAGAGAGAAAAGTGGAGACGCGGGCGATCACAACCAGGCAATTGATGCATCAGTGTATGGATGGAGTGCATCTGCTCTGCTTCTGTCTTTGTCATCCTCTCTTCCTGTTGCTGCCTTGGCCGCGTCTGAGCCAATCCTTGACCAGGCACGGTGACGAAAAAGACGACTGACCATTTCGACGAATGGCGTCGATGAGGAACGGAATGAAACCCAACGTGGAGCAAGCCCCAAGCCAAAAAAAAAAAAAAAAAAAAAAAAAAAAAAAAAAAAAGTAAAACCAAGCATACAAGCCTCCCGAAACAAACGGCCCATCAGACTTTGCACTGCATGTGCATCTGCCGTTCTTTTGAGCAAAAGGTTGGCATCCTACGACGAGAGAAAATGACCAAAAGACGAGGCATTTGTTTTCCCCACCAGGGCCATCCTTGCCACTTCTGCGGGCGTCGGAAGGCCTTCTTATTCCTTCCAGAAGAGCAAGGGCCACTACGGCCAACCGCCCGATGGCAGCCAGACGTGCAACGAGCCGCCGCCGAAGCGGCAAGTGTCCACGTCTCTTCGGCGTCTTTCATAACTTGGTTGGACCAAACAACGCGAGCAATTTGGCTCTTATTTCAGGTTTACTTCATCTTGATTGTGAAACAGACCACAGCAGGGATCTTTGGCAAGAAGGCGGGAACATGGATTCCACGACGAGCAGGGAACGAAGCAAAGGAGGCCAGTTTATTCGTTGGCGAAAACAATGAAAACAGTGCACATCTCACGGAGACGAAGGACACGTTGAGCAAAGGACCTCAACAGACAGCAGCATTCTCGACAGTGCGAGGTGCTTCTGCCTTGTGCTGAGAATGTGATGTGCCCTCGCACAGTCCCTTGATGGAGATGAGACTCTGTTTTACACGTACGGCCGTTTTGCAGCAACGTCTCGATATTCCTGCGTTTTGTCTCTGCCTTCTCAGCCGTTCCTAACAAGACGACCGGGGAGATGAAAACAAGGGCGAAAAGGCTGCTATAGTTGTCTAGTTGTCTCCATTCTCAATTTGATCGAGTCAGTGCGCTATCTAGTTTCGTTTTGCTTCGTTTGCTTTGTTTTGCTTCGTTTTCTCGTTCAGCCGGAAGACGTGCAAAAAAGGCTACCCAGGTGCACAAGCGCCCAGGTGCCCAGGTGCCAGGTGTCCATACTCTCTCAAGCTGCATGCTTGCTGCACGTTGTAGCCTAACACACCGTAGCGGGCATCTGTGTGCGCAGAGTTTTACAGCTTGTGCCGATTCGGTGTGTTTCTTGACAAGGCTGCGTGTGCAGTAGCGTTTTCATGGCATGGATCTCCCCTTTGGGAAAAAAAAGAAAAAAGTGAAGATTTTTCACAACTGCACAAGGAATGTGAATGAAACAAAAGGAACTGAGTGAGTAAATAAAGGAGATGTGATTGAGGCCAGCCCTGTCAGCCTATCGCTGGCACGATCGACCGTCCTGTCTCTCCTCCCATTGTTCGGGTCTGTCCCGTTTCGGCATCTGAAGCACGGTAGGGCTTAGCTGAATCGAGACCCCAGGCCTTTGACCAGTCATCCGGCTCCCAGACAGTTTCGTTGGTTGCGCCTCCTTTTGGTTGCAAAAGGAAACAGTGGGCTTTTCCTCTCTCATCCCTCGTCTCTCATTTTTCAGCGTCCTATTTTATTTATTTTTGTATCTGTACAATTTAGTTTTGACCCTTTTTCACCGTCTTTTTCATATTCTTACACGTTGTTTCACCGACACCCAGACGGCAACAAAAGAACGAGCGTGTCCGCTGGTTCTCGCTCGCTCCGGAGTGGATCTTATGGGGCATGGATCAGGTGGAGCTGATGGAGCTGATGGAGCTGATGAAGCACGAGAAAACGATTCACACTGAAAACTCTGACCCAGGGGCGTGAATGAGCTGCACGCTTGGCGGTGACAACCAGCTTCATTCTTGCCATTTGCCCTGTCTGCTATGCATTCATCGACGTGCAATGGCCACGACTGCAAAATTTTCAAGTGGAGCAAAACAACCGTGGAGTCCGAAGGAGATGGAAAATGAAGGTGCAACGGGGAGAAATGGATAACAGGGCGTGAAAGAGGCGCGAGCCTGTTCAGACACATTCGTGATATTTCTGGGTATCATTAAGTCGCCTGAAGCAACAGACAAAAGGCGAGATTGAAAAGTGCAGTGACATCTTGCAATGGGTGTGAGATTAAGAGCGCCTTCTTGCTGTCTCGCCATTCTCACAGTACGCACAACATATACGTACGACGTACTCCCTCGGCGTACTTTAAAACGCTCTCGTTCAATCACAAAGGGAGGGGGTTGATCTAAAAGGCCGAAACCAGAAAAGAAAATGTCCG